ATTTTTCCATAGTCAATAGTTTTTACTGTCGAGTTTTTGTCAATCAGGCGTTTAATAACTTTCTTATTTGCTCTTCCCGGGGCGTCGATAACAGAATCCTCAGGCGATTTTTTGGGTTGCCCCAGTGCCATTCTGAAGGTCAGGGGCTTGTCACTGAGAACACAATTTTCTGATGAATTCGACGAGCGCAAAAGGGTAGGAGAGGGGGAAAATGGGGATGTTAGAAAATTTGAATTTCAAAAAAATTGTGGGTGTTTTTATTATTTTTTGTCCTAAGCTAATGCTATTTTTTCCACAATGATCAAGGACCGGTGGAGCCGGCAGGGTTCCCTGTAACCTTACCTACAGCCGTACTCGTTCCGACCTCGTGAATCGCTGCCAAAGGTGCAGCTGATTAAACAAAAACAAAAAATCACAAAAATAAAAACAACTCCGAAAACAAGAAGATTCTTCCATATTGGACCCAGCCAATGCGCTCCTCACACATTCTGTTGTCTGTCACGCCTTCCACATGACAAATTTGCCCATTCTCTGCTGAGAGCAAAAGATGGGTTAGCAGGCACCTTTGATATAGCCGGTATCCTGCTATTGGTTAATAAAGTCCCGAAAGGGACATCTTCGAGGTGGCTGACTCTTCAAACTTCTTCTTCAGATTCCAGCGTTGCGAAACCTATTGCCTCGGCCATCGAGACGTCCTTTGCCACAGTGATGATGGCCTCTTCGGCCCTTTTGGCTGCAACCCCAGCTCGTGCCACCTTTGAGAACTCGCCTTGTTCGATGTGGCGGATCCATGCGAGCTGCTCTTTTGTCACGAGTCCGCATTTTTTAGGTCTGACTTGGCAGGCCTGAGAATCTGATTGATGGAGTCCACAACAGTTACGACATTTTGTGAGGGCCTTACACTCAACTCCCGAGTGCATATTTGATACGCAGTTCTAGCAGGCTGGAGTGCGGGAGCAACCACGGGTGGCGTGGAAGCCCAAACAGCGTTTACACTGTTTAATTTGTCGACGAGGATTGTGAATGGTAGCTATACCAGCCTCGTCGAGAATGCGGAAGCCCGGGCGAGGGGTGGATTCCTGGAGGAAAAGGGCTTTCCAATTTCTGTACAGCGCTCCAGGACGGCATGTGCCGTGCGGTAGCACCTGGTATGGAAGCTTATGTGTTTTTTGGTAGATCTCCAATGAGATCCACTCAGCATCGACCGTATGAATACAGTTGATTTTTTTTACGGCCGCTGGAACATTCGCGATCCGAAAGGCGACAAGGTTGGAGGCTTCTTCAAGCTTCGCGTTGAAGTCTGACAACTTCGGTGCGGCATCTAAGAGCTCTTCCCTTTTATTTTCATTCCCTGTAAGAATCGCAAAACCGGTTCTGACTCGGTGTACAGAGCAGGCGTCACTCAAGTTGCACTGCAGCCCTTCCTGTATTTGTTTCCCTAAAGCGCCAGGTGAAAGCTTGCGCCACGGGTGCTCCTCTTCTAGGCGAAGGAACAGCTGTTTGTCGACCTTCGCCTTTGGGGCTTCTTTATTTTGGGCTTTGGCCGCAGGTCGCGGTACAGTTTTTGCTGTAAGAACTGCCTTTTGTGGCAGTCAGTTTTTCACTACCGAGTCCCAGGTGCTTTTGACAGACAGCACTGGCACGGCGGGTGTTGGTGTGATCCTGGCGTCGGGAGCCCTTGGGAGTGGGTTCGCCGGGCGAGGAGGGAGAACGGATGGCGTAGTGGCCGGGCCCGTGTCCATGTATTGCGCTATGGCGGCGCGTAAGTAGACTCTCATCGAGTCTACAAATTGTCTATTTGACCCGTTGGTCAAAGAGAGGAGGGTGTCTTCGACGCCAGAGATGGCGGCGGAGCAGAGGGCCAGATTTGCCGCTGTTGTGGCTCCTAGTCTGATGTCTTCTAGCACAAAAGGGACGTGATAACATCCGAGACTGTACTGGTGAAGGTATTCAGACTACTAGAGTGTATATCTCTATCTAAGGTTTTACAATACAAAAGATATGTGGTGTGTGTGTGTCCGAGCGTGGCACGTGAGCGGTGTGTAACCTCATGGAACCTCACTGTTTCGGCGGCGCGTCGTTGTTCGGCCTCGACGATTGGTCGAAGCTCAGGAGGGCATTCTGATTTCGTGGCAACTTTCAGCTGCGACGTTAATTTTGGCGCTGATATGGGTGCAGCGTTTTCCGACTGTTTTGATGCGGTTGGAGGTGATTTGGACGATTCTCCAATCCCGTGGGACGGAGGATGGTTGAGAAATTTCCTCAACAATTTCGACTGACCCGATCATGTCAGTATCGGGCTCAGTGACGGTGGGAAGGGCTTTTTCCTTCCCTTTAGTAGAGGCCTTGCTCATCTCCGCGCATTTCGGAGACTGGGTAAGGTCGGGTAATTTTTCGAGAGCCCTCGGGCGGACTCTCGTGTTGTCCAACTTGGCGTTGGGGAGCTTTTTTCGAACAGGTGGCATGATGAAAATGCCAGTGACTCGATCACAATTATTTGATAGAATGCATCGAGCGCGAGAGAGAGGGAGAGGGGGAAAAAGTGAATTTTCGAATTTTCGAATCTCAAAAAATTATGGGTGTGCGTGTATTTATTGTACTACATGAGTCTATGACTATCTAGCACATTGAGCTCCTCTCTGACCCAGGCCACACCTTGTACAGTGCTCCTTTCCTCTCATGTTTCTTGAAAGATCATTGATGTATTGCCAGTGATGAATAGCCATTTAGCCGGTGTTTACCAGTGGATTATGGCCATCTTTTCCGCATAACCATCCATCGAAAAAGAATAAAAATGGTAGCGTTGGAAAATACGTGCGCGGGGAAAAGTCTCAAAAAACCTGCAGCCCCAGCCACAGAGGTGCACTCATTCATCTATATCTCCCTTCTTTTTAACAGTCGAGGCCGACCTGATCCAATTCACCATTGCCGTATCGGGTGCTAGGTACTCTCAGGAAACTCATCGGATGGCTTTCCCTCCATGATCAAGGGTTGGTGATGAGAAGGACTTCGACTCTAATGTCTATTCTGATGGTGGTTAGCTTCGTGATAATGGTGATACGGGGATGTATTGAGAGATGGAGATGATACAGACCGCGAAAGCGATTTGGAGTCCTCATCAAAGTGGGGACTTTATTACTCAATCTCGGCTCTTCAGACTCTACAGTGAGAGCTGGAGGTTCGAAGGGGACACCGCTGACAGATGTTGAGAAAAGTGCCCCCGTTTGCAATTGGAGTAACTCTATCATCGGTATTTGAGACGAGGTGGTGTTGTAATATTGAAGGAGAGAAATTGCGAGATTGATAATTTAAACATTTTATTCGAATTCGAACCCTATTACGTGACAGGAAGAACCTTACATAAATGAAGACGTGACGCGGTTAGATGAGCTTTGAGAGCTCATAGCTACCTACATGACCGGCAGTGAAGCTAGAAGCGATGAAATAAAAGAAGGAAATAAAAAGGAGCAGTAAATGTCGGAGTGACGTTAGCTGGAGAGGGGAGATAATGAAGGGCAAAGGGCTCCTCGCAGTGTATGATCAAATGCGGACTTGGGAGGGGGGTACTGTTTGAGGGAAGCTGTGAAGGAGGCATAGGAGGGGATATACTACTGGGATAGGTATCCTTGGTCTGTAGGCAGAGTGTACCTGCATGTCCTACATAGTCATAGACTCAGATAGAACAATAAAATGAATTAATTAATAATAATGTCTGAGTTACGGCGCCGTGCGCCGCATCCCTATCTTCCACACCCATCTCCTCTTGGGTTAGAAACAATCTGAGCGTGGTCACTTCCCACCCTGTTCATTCTTCGGCAGACTGTAACATCTGCTTGTAGTTAAGAATTGAATGAACTTCGACCATTCCTTCCCCCCTATCATTTCACTGGCCCTTCCTGGGGCCATTTTCTCATAGCTTCTCCAACGTTGCAAAGCAGGTGGACAATCTGAATAATTCCAGAGCCTTTTCTCTCTGCCCTAAACGCATTTTAGATCTTCATGTTCGGAGTTGAAACGTCGATGGTAGTCGGCGTAGTCCCCGTGGCCTGTCCTTAACGCAATAAGACGATGGTACGCCCGACAGGTCAAACATTGTATAGAAGTCGTTGATCTTAAATATGCTTGAGGTTGATGTCGGCTTCGCTTCGGATGCGATTCTGCTTAGCTAAGCCAGATATAGAGCATATTGAGCGATTACACCGGTACCACTGGAAGGTAAAGAATGCGTCTGACGGCTGATGGTTTAATTGTTACGGAGAGGTTTGGGGACTAGCCAAGTTTTAGTCCTTCGATACTATGATAATTAATTTTAACAAAATGAAAAAATTTATAAAGTGATTCCGAAATCATAGCTGGATAGAGCAATTCCTAATGCCAACGGCGGTCAAAATGCTGTCGAGTGAATGAAGTACAACTTATGATTCTTTGGGCTAATAGAGAGGATGTGATTGGCTTACACGGATAGCATTAGTGTAGAACTGTGTTTCGGGACGAACATATAGATAGGATTGGTGGGCTGATATACGAGATTTTCCTCTCATATAAATACCAAGCTCATAGATATCAACTTGAGCTCGCAGGACACCAAATTAGGATAGCGTAAAAAATTAAATAGCAGTCCATTCAAACTAGATCTAGCGAATCCGCCGAAATCCACACTTGAAACGCGAGCATCCTGAGTTTTTAATGCAGGAAAATAGAGTCGAAAGAGGCTCTCATCGAGCCAAGACACACTTCAATTTCTAGCAAGTTTTGATTCAGTCGACTTAAGACTTCTTGTCGATTTTATCAATTCAGTTTATAAATTTGAGGACAGAAGTGAAAATTATTATACTATATTAGTATTTTTAATCAAAGTACACAATAACCCTTGACGCTCAATTTCCTGCCCTGTCCCAAGTAATATTAAAACATCAAATCAAATCCTTCGCTATACCTGTCCGGGCTGCTGCACTGTACCCATACTGTGACTATAGCGTTAGCTTTTTTAATGTAAATATATGTGGAGGCCAGCTCCGTCGATATTCGGGGAAAAGCGTGTGTATAAATATGCCGATTTCTCAATTCTCGGAGGAAAAGTATCAGCAATATCTATCATCTGGTTAATTCTACCACTCATACTTCTTGTGCTCAATTAAACCAGATCTTCAGACCATGGAATATCTGTGGATCGTTTTGCTACTGCAAACCGTCTCCATAGCTGCTGAATGTGTTGCTGATAGCTGTCTCCTCGCACTTCGCTCGACACCACACATCTCTGGACGCCATGCCGCTGCCCTAGATTTCTGCACTGCATATCTTCAAGACCCGACTGTTGTCGTGCCAGATGAGGCGAGAATAGCTTGTAAAGACGAAAACAATGTGATCGACGAGCAACGCATCGCTAGTGCTTGCGCGTGTGAGTTTGCGCCAACGGAGACAAGACCAACATTAGTTACGCCGGCTCAAATAACCTCGCCGCCCGCGGTTGCGGAGGACAGCTTTTTCGAGCCTTGCGCGCTTGTCAGCAGTTCGTCCGCTGCACAAGTAGCTACAGCTCCCTCTAGTTTGTCCCAAATGCAATTTTTGTGATAGATGCAACGATATCTGACGAGGATCTAGCTTGGCCAACTGTCTCCGCACAGCTTGCCTATGAATGCCTGAACTCGATACCCCTCAACGAGACAGCTGCTATAGATTTTGTTGACTCCATCGAGCCGTACCTTGAATGGCAGAGTGGTAGGTACATGACAAATGAAATGCGACAAGCTAGCTAATTTTCCAATCAAAAGATTTGGCATGGAAAAAAGATCCTCCAGCAGATTACGATTGTCCTGCCCACGATGTCATCGCCGCCCTAGATCAAGTCCGGAGAAACTTAATCGCAAATAGGTATGCAAACGAATACGTATTTCAAATTGATCTGTATCGAGTCTTCCTGAGAGGTTGCGACGGGCACATCATATTATTTCCTGATGCCGCGACTAAGGGATTTATTTTTGGTCGCCAGCGATCTTTGGTCTCAGTAAGCGAGGACGGACGATCGCTTCCCGTCATTAAGCTATATGGTTTGGTCACCGTACGTTTATTAGCGGTACAAACTTCTGACTTTAGTTAGATGATGTTTACAACTCGCCGGGACAGGGGTCAGTTGTTACCCAAATTAACGGCATTGAAGCGTCAACATTTATCTCCAATTACAGTAGAGAAGCCCCGAGTTTTCCAGATGCCGATGCGGTGTACAACAGCATGTTCTTTAGCCAAGGTTCCTTCGCCGAGACTGGTTGGGAAGGCTGTTTCTCAGGAGGTGGGCGAATGCAATATATTTATCCGGGTCCTACCACATCGTTCACCTTTGCTAACGGATCATCGCTAATCCTGGAAAACACCGCCAGGGTTTTGGCAGACTTCAGTGATGTGGCCAATGGGCAACAATTTTACAGCAAATATTGTACGGTCCATGACGATGAAGTTGAAGAGGAAGATTCAGCTGCTACATCTCTTCCCAACTTCACCTCTGCATATCCACAACCTGCAATCGCGACTAATGACTCCATCTTATCCGGACACTATCTGGACGGGCAAGGATATGAAGACGTAGCTGTTTTAAATACTTTGTCTTTTGACCCACAATCTACAACCCAATTTCAGGAAGTTGCACAACAATTTTTGATTGATGCAAAGCGGAATGGTAAGACAAAAATTATCATTGATCTTAGTTGTAACGAGGGCGGATATGTTTTACTAAGTTACGACTTGTTCCGACAATTTTTTCCTACTATTGAGCAAGAAGGAAATACCCGCTGGAGAGCAGGAAAAGCTTTCATGGCCATTGCCGAGATATTTTCCGCCGGTTCTGATGATTTTGACCCTTCTACTGCTACTGATTCAGAGATCAGTAGGCATCAATCTTGGTTTCATTACTATTCCGATCTGAATAGTAATAACGAGCCGTTTCGGAGTTTTGAGGATAAGTATGGTCCATACACTATAAAGGGTGATAATTTTACCAACAACATTCGATGGAAACTAAACGATACTCTGGTCACTTCTAATGATACTTACGGCCTGGGTATGGAAATTACTGGATATGGATCACGTCAAAATTTCACACAGCCCTTTGATGCTAAAAACATTATAATGGTCTGTAAAATAATACAAGTGCTCTGGGCATCGCTAATCTCTCCCAGCTTCATAATGGATATTGTGGATCCGCTTGCCATATGTTTTCAGAGTTTATGCGGGTCCAAGCAGGCGTCAAATCTATTGCTATGGGAGGTCGACCCAAGGAAGGTCTTATGCAGGGGGTAGGCGGAAATAAAGGAGCTCTGGTTTTTAGTTTCGAAACAATTTTACAGTATGCACAGATGGCGTTGCCAAATGCTTCGGAAGCCCAAGCAGAGATTTTAGAAAAGCTGTCGCCACTTCCACTACAGCGAATTAGTAAAGCTAGCCTTAACGTGCGAGACTACATCTCCCCAGAACATTTTGGCGATGGACTTCCGTCTCAGTACGTCCGAGTAGAATCTGATTGTAGGCTATTCTACACAGAAAAAAGTATTAACGACGTCACTGTTCTTTGGAAAGCTGCAGCCGATGCAGCATTTAATGGAAAAGGATGTGCTTATGGTAGTCTTCCGGAAAGGCTCTGAGTGGCTACACTAACGATACAAGTTTATGAATAATATTTCTTTTAACCCAACACCACCAGTACAGATGGTAAGAATAGCTAGAAATGCGGCACGACTGATGGGATTTGTACAGGAGGTAAGATTTGGTTATTACTCTCCAGCGAATGAAGTGAAGATAGGATTACCTTGAAGCTTTTGTAAATATTTCATTTTATTTCAGCTACATTTGCACGATGCTAGCGCTTCCAATCAATCGTTTGGATCACTAGTATATGTATGATCCTGATAGCTCAAAATATTTAACTGGGTAAGCTTCTGTCAAGGACACATGGTTGGGTCCTACACAATGTAGTCGTAGAATTTACCAAGAAATTCGTGCGGACGTTAGTAAACAAATATCTCTAGGCGTCGGAAAGTAGTGTTAGAATTTAGAAAAATTGTGGCTATCAAGCAGACCTCGTTGTTGGTACACTTGTGACTTCAAATTCTGAAATGCGAGGCATGAGCGCTCTTCCTTTACGTTGAATCATCTATTCCGTACTTTTCTTTGATACTGTGTCATAGCTAGATAGCTGCATACGCAATTAAAATCTGATGCAAAAAAAAAGACTACAAATCCTGTACTTGGTTTCACTTCGGTACTTAGTTGAATCAATGCGCTCTACAAATCACTGACTGAGGGGTCATTATTTTCTTAATAAGTAGTTTAATTGGCTTTGCACTAAGTGTGGTGGATGTCTATGTGGGGGAGTCATTGCCATGATTACTCAGCCAATACTGCGAACTATGTACAGTGCCTCTAGGTTCCAAAAGGTTAAACTTCAAGCTGGGTTGTTGAAGGGATTAGCCCTGTAGGCGCGGTTGAGCTAGCTAATAATAGGTTAGTATGTCTCTCCTCCTTACCCCGCTCGCCATGAAGTATGGTCCAATCGTCTTCTTCTCACAATCGCTTAGAAAAACACATTCTAAACGACAATTTTGGCTGCCTAGCCTAAACAGTCTGTCAAACTTCACACCACCATCAATCCACCCTCTATTCTAGCAAAAAATGTCTTTCGAAAAGTCTGCTTCAGAATCTATAGTTCGCAAGCATCTAACTCGCGATCAATGTACTGAAATAAGAGCATTAAGAAGACTTGGCTTGACACTTCAAAATATATCCGACAAACTTGGCTTCACAATAAGACAAGTACAACTTGCGTGTGCACGAGAGACTGAGAATCCTACGTCTCGCAAAGGACCCTTACCAAAATTAAGCTCGGAACAAGTTGATGAGCTTGAGGCTTTCGTCCGGGAGTCTCCTGAAAATCGACAGATGTACTATTTGGAACTAGCCATGGGGCTCTTCAGCCACTGGGGATGCAGTGAACGTCTAATTTCTAATGCACTCAAAAAAAAGAGGTTACAGCAGATGCATTGCTCGGAAGAAGCCTCCGTTAAGCGCGGCGAACAATCAGAATAGATTGGTGTTCGCCCAATTACATTTAGATTGGAGCGACGAATAATGGAGTCGCATATTATTGACTGATGAAACCTGGGTATCGGGTGATTGTCATATGAAACCTCGTGTCACAAGAAAAGCACGTATAAATTCTATCTAAATCTTCCTTGTACTAACAGCAGAGTTTAGCCTGATGATGAGTTTGATGAGACTTGTATTGTGGCTCGCCATGCTCATGGGAACAGCTAGATGTTTTGGGAGTTATTTTACGGATCACAAAAAGGCCCATTCCTAGTCTGGGAGAAGTATTAGGGACCGATAGGGTTCGATGAGGTCCTCATCATTTTGTGAAAGGATCTTGCCACTTTTGAATCAATTTCACTCGGATGATCCAGAAATTCTATACATGCACGACAACGCACCATGTCATAAAGCGTACTCAACAATTGAGGCGCTGCGTGCAGTTGGAATAACGCCTATGAGATGGCCACCTTCCTCTCAGGACCTGAACCCGATCGAGTTATTGTGGAATATCTTCAAAAACCACATTCAGGTAAATAGTCCTGAGATAAATGGGGTCAGGCTTGTGCGCTCTGCCACGTTGAAGACATTGCTACAGGATGCATGGGACTCTATACCTTCTGAGGAGCTATCGTCACTAGTTGGCAGCACGCACGAAAGTTAGAAAAGAATAGAATTTTATTTATGTCCCTAGTGAGTCTATGACTATGTAGGACAGTTAAAACTATCTAAACAGCTTTCAAGTTAATAGTAAATTTGCATATTTTTGTGCTCAATTTTTGCCAATAGATGATGAGGATCATGCCCTATTTTGTTCCTGCCCTTAACCATAGTACTTTCACCCTTCCTTGATTCACCCGTTCTATCGATCTCCTCCGTTCTCGTTCCTTTGAAGATGCCGTCGTCTTGTTGATACTTTAGTCTGCTTGATATATTCAATGGTGTGCACGAAAGATGTGTAGCAGTGATAAGGGCAAACGGAGGGTACACAAAGTATTAGGATGAAGACGACACACAAAACATGTGGTACGTTTTCATTTAAGTTGCGAGCCATACTGAGGGCTTCGATGTAAACTTTTGTAATACAGAGCAATAATTTTTGAAATAGTTGTGCATTTTTAGAGAATATCTATTGGCTTTTTTCAATTTTGAATTTCAACTGAGGACCATTCAACTTTTCCCATGGGTTTCAAAACCATCCCCATAATTCCAACTTTCACAAAATGTCTTTGGATAGTACCCTTGCATGCATGAATAGTCGAGATACTAGACATGGGAATGCATGAAGATTTTAACTGTAAAGTCGATATTTACAGGGATCTATCCCCAGTCATTTTGACAATTTTACATTTCTCATCCACAAGAGACTGTACATAACTCATTATCCTAGTTTGGCGCCTCGGGGCCAATGCAGGTTTTTATCGGAAGATGTGTATTTTAAATAGGATGAATCATTCTGACATCTAGAATCCCTACAATCAAATTTCATTTGCATATACCACACGAGGTTAACCCTTACGGCGTATAACATCTTCCGTGCATACCCACCACAGAGAAAAGCGTGAAAACCCCATGGTTATCTGGGTGTGCTTTCATCCCATTAATACAATATCACCGCGAGAGAGTGTGGTGTGTGGGTTTTACCGGATTCGAACCAGCCTTCTCCTGTCTCAAATGGGTAGGTAATCAAGCTACCCAGTAGCTATTTGGGAGAACAACTCGAAGGGTGTACCACTGCACCATCCCCGACAGTAGGATTGTTTTCAACATCTGTCAGTGGTGTCCCCTTCGAACCTCCAGCTCTCACTGTAGAGTCTGAAGAGCCGAGATTGAGTAATAAAGTCCCCACTTTGATGAGGACTCCAAATCGCTTTCGCGGTCTGTATCATCTCCATCTCTCAATACATCCCCGTATCACCATTATCACGAAGCTAACCACCATCAGAATAGACATTAGAGTCGAAGTCCTTCTCATCACCAACCCTTGATCATGGAGGGAAAGCCATCCGATGAGTTTCCTGAGAGTACCTAGCACCCGATACGGCAATGGTGAATTGGATCAGCTCTGCGTCTATCATGGTTTTAGAGAAGAAACCAACTGGGTGGAACATTCTGTTGTCTTGAAGTTGTGAAAGCAAGCCAGCCACTACCCCATCAGAAGAGTCAGTTTTGAGTCTAGTTTGCTTGAATGGATTGTAGTGACACAAGATAGGAGCCGTCTGTAGGGCGTATCGGAGACGCTCCCATGCCTCCTTGCAAGCTCTGCCAAAGTGGAAGGGGACGTCTTTTCCAGTCAGTAACGTGAATGATCGGCAAATACTGCTGTAGTCTTTGATAAATCGACGGTAGAAGTAACAGAATCCTAGGTAGCTTTGTACGCCGCAAACGTTGCTAGCATATTCCCAATTCTTGATAACCTCAATTTTCTCGGGGTCTACCTCAATCCCAGTGGTACCAATGATGAAGCCCAAGAATTTCGTACGTGTCACGCCGAATTCAGACTTCTTGATGTCTGCCTGGAGGCCGTGGTCTCGCAATATCTCCATTATTTTTTGTACTTAAAGGTCATGCTCCGCTTCTGAATCTGGGTAGATCAAGATTTTGTCAAGGTAAGCTGAGCAGAAGTCGTCTAGGTATTCCATTAAGATATTATTGATAAAACATTGAAAGGTGGCAGGGCCATTAGTCAAGACAAATGGGAGTACTTTGTACTTATATGTTCCGTAACAAGTGCGGAAGGTAGTGAAGTCCTCCGAATCTTTTGACATACGTATTTTGTGAAATGCCTGCTGAATATCAACTTTGGTGAAGATCTTTACTTTAGAGATTCTAGCCATCATCTCATCAATCAAGGGAATAGGATAGGGATCTTTCTGGGTAAGCTCGTTCAGCTTTCGGAAATCGACACAAAATCGAAGCCCACCACCAGCCTTCTTTGCCATAAGGATAGGCGCAGCCCAGGGCGCGTTTGATGGTGCAATGAACCCTTTATGGAGGTTCTCAGTGATATAACGCTTAGCTTCAGCGAGATATTCGTCTGGCATGCGTCGGGGAGGCTCTGTCGTAAGCGTGTTATTGCTGGTGAGTTTAATTTCGTGGTCGACGGCGGGTCTCCTCGCAGCGAGGTCGTCTGAAGCTCTGGTAGAGAATAGGTCCTTAAACTCCTTCCACTTCTCGGGGAGGCGCTTTGTAACTAACTCGTCGTTCTGCCGGTATTTAGCTTCGCGAGTTTCCGCCGGGGAGAGACCTGCATCAAGAGCCGACAATTCCGCGGCAACAGCGGCAAGCTCGTTTTGACGTCGTTGGATCTCATCTTGAATATCTTCGAGGGAGGCAACGAGAACTTCCGAATCGTTGTTATGGGCCTTCTGGCGGTGCTTCCGATGCAAGTAGAACTGGTGCATTGAGGCGGCGAAGATCATGTTGATATCAGTTTTATACGGCTCGTTTTTAACTCGGCGAGTTGCCACGGCAATGGTCTGGCATTGGAGAGCTTGATCAGCTTGCTCGACCCATGAGCCGGGATCACGGGTGGTAGAGAGCGATTTAGCCAGTTGGTGATCAGCGAGTAGTTCATTCATTCTTAGGAAGCCTTGCTTAAGTTCCCTGAAAAACGAGGAGGGACGCTTTTGAGTCTTTTTCGGTCGAAGGGAAGGGGGAGTTTTTACACTAGAGAGCTCTTCTTCAAACAGAGCATCTCGCCGTTGCTGGTCAAGTTGGTGCTGTAGGTTCACCATGGGCGTCTTGGGAGGTAGGAGTAGCTCTAGACGCCTATCGAAGTAGTGCTGAGGTGGCATATCAAACGGCCACTCTTAACGGTTTTTTGTACGACAATTGTAATTCTGCTTGAGTTTGTCATGTTCTAAGAACTTTCGGCCAATGAGCACATTGTTGCTTCCCAGGTCGGTAATCAAGAATCGGAAGTTGACGCGGCGGCAATTGATCGTGAGGGTAAGGAGAATTACGTGGGTGATAGCAGCGCCGGCTTATCTGTTATAGCCAGTAGGTATAATTGGCTTGGGGAGAGTAAGAAATTTGACGCCTAAAAGGTCACGAAGTTGGAGAGCGACAGAGGTACGAAGCGCCCCAAAGATATTTGCTCCGCCGTCGATATGTGCAGTTGTTTTGATGAATGATTCATTTCTACCTAATTCAATACAAACTAGGAATTGTTTTCCTCCAGTAAGAGAACGGAAATCAGCGTTCAAGACTTTCCACAAATCGAGGCATTTGCCATGAGAGGAGACTGTTCCACGGCTTAAGAGTTTCCCGACAGCTCGTCAATCTCAACAGGTTGTAGGCCGTCCTCGTCGCCGTCATCGTGCTCTAACATTAATTCCTCCACCGATCAACCAGTCAGTTCTGCAATCTTTACGGCGTTGGGGCAATCCCTAGCCCAATGGCCTTCCTTTCGGCAGAGACAACAGGTATTGGTAGCGCTTAGAGTACGACGTATGACTTGTGGTACGGTCTCAGGAGTGATAGGGAAGCGTACAGCGGGGGTGTTGCGAGCAGCGTCAGCCGTCAGGCGTTCAGCAGTCCATCCCGATTGTCACGGTTTCAGTACAACATGCTTGGGCGATCTTGTAGGTACAGTATATTAATTATGATTCTCTAGAGAGAGAATTCCTATAGCTAGAATACAAATATATATACACTCTGAGATACTCCTCTTCTGTAAGGTTCTCCCTATATCTGGAATAACATGGAATCCTCGACAATACCCTAGAAGATTCTTGATACACCTGTGGTCCTCATGAACCTTCAGTATGCTTCCAGAAAGTTCATTGAGAATCTTCTAAGCTCCTTGTATTCCGAGATCCTTCCCGAAGATTCCCTTGCATTCATTGCCTGCGCTAGCCAGCGTAGGCTACAGGAATCCCTAGGCTTAACAGCCGTTACACCGATTTTTTCAAAATACTCGGGTTTCTGCTAGCGTTGTTTCTGTCGGCGACAGCAACTACCTACTTATGGAGAGCATCCTCGGCGAGGATGTTGCGAGATTCTCGGTCGGTGACAGCTAAGAACTCGTCGAGAGTAGTGTAGTTGTTGCTCATCTTGTACTTCTCAGTCATAATTTGGAGCTTTAAGGCAGGAGAGATTTTCTCACAAACGTCATCAAACCAACGAGCCCTGGCGATTTTATCAGTGATGGCTAGGTTGGTGAACTTGATGCGGAATTGATTGTATGTCATATTACTAGTCATCTTCAAGTTGCTGTAGGCAGCTTTGGCTTTTTGGACATGGTTGTGGTCGAAGAAATGTTGATCTAGGGCAGCGAGGACGTCGGCAGCACCCTTGAATTTGGTGGTAACATCTGTATCCATATGCTGAAGGATAATAGTCTTGGCCTCTCCTCCAGTACACTTGAAGTACGCCTTTACCTGGGAGTCTCTAGCGCAGAAGTTACCAGAGAACTCCTCAATAAAGAGCTTCATGTCCATCTTCCAAGCATTGTACTCAATCTCTCCATTGTGGTCGGTAAAGAGGAGGCGGGGATAGCGAATCTTGTGAGAATCATCAGGCTTGACAGAATTTTCAATCTTTGGGAGGTAGTGATCAACAGCCGGTTGTAGGTCTGCAGTAAGTGCGCGAGACTTTCTAGCAGCATCTTTGGTAGCTTCGACGGCAAGAGTAGAAGTAACTGCAGTCTTGAGCATCTCGTTGATTGCCGCCAACTGGCTGGTAGAGAATTCTTGGTCCACCATTGTGTGTTCGTCTTCCTCCTTGATTGTATCACTCTCAATAGTGCTCAATATGCTCTCCTCCACTGGCGCGGTATCGCCTTTCTTCTTCTTTTCCTCTGCGGGGTATCCAAATCGGGCTGGTGTAGAGAGCTCTCGATTGCTTTGGCGCGGTTGCATATGGGAGGGACCGCTCTTCGTGTGTGTAGTATTGAGACGAATGCGCGTAGGTAGGGAGGGGTTTGCAGAGGTCGAGATTGGTAGTTGAGGATGCGCGTACGAGGCTGATGCGCGAATCCGTGTCGCAAAGTTGCAAAGTTTGAGGTATTGTATCAAAAAGGTGATGCCAATAGAGAGAGGGAGTTCAGCTTGCTCTGAGACTGTCTGCAATCGAGATATGAGGCAGAAGGCACCTGTAATTATACAGGTAAGGCGGGAGTCGTAGGAGTCGTACCAAAAAGGTGGTGCCAACATCGAATTTGTTCTGACTGCATATTACTGCTTCCCAGCGAGGTGATGGTCTTTTATTATGTTACGGCACGTCAAGGAGGTTGTATAAGTTATTATATTGCTATCAAGAGGTACGCTTGTAAAGGCAATAAAAGACGAAGAGAGGAGGTAGCTACTCTCGACCCTCTCTAAGATATCTCCCTCGGCTGTGCTCAGTCATCCAACGTGATGCCAAGGCGCGCTAACCCGTATCCCCACATGCACGCAATATGGCTCTCACGAATTGTGACACATGTAATCATGTTAGAGTTGTATTCCTGTAGCTATCTATATTTGTGTTATCTTCGACTCGTAAACTTGTGCTAGTATTAGTCACTTCTGACAGTTGCTGTTTGCAATATTGGAACTAATCATGTTATTACTTCATACTTAGGACTATTTGACACATTAAGTGTTGTGATGGAAGTTGTATAGAGAAGCTTAAGCTGTTAGGCTTGTATTTAATATCACCTAGTGAAGCGAGTTGGGAGATTGAAGAGTCTGTAAACTATAGTGGAGAGTTGTTAATTAAACTCACTTTGTCATAGGCTAGAGCCTAAGGCAGCCAAGGCTTGGGCTTGGGTGACAGATCTGAGCTGATACCAATCAGGTGACTATTTAGTTTCTCTATTTTGGTATAGTCTGGTAACAGCACAGACCACCTTTCAATGTATATAAGGAAGACTTTTCATCTTCCATCTTCTTTCTTTAGTTTAAGATCTTCTATACACAGCAAACAGTACAATTCGAATACAATTCTACTTCTACCCTTACACACTTAGTATCAGAGTGCTATTTAAACTAATTACTACAGCTAAGCGGAGGACACAATTCACTAGCTTATGCTAGATAATTGGGAAGCTGGTCAATGTATGAGCCGTCATTAACATCCTAGTAATATTCGAACCTTAAAACATTCCATGTTCATGCAACTCTTCATTGCCAAGTAGCGCCAATTTCAACATTAAGCTTGCACAATAGTATGGGGAGATTATATGGTCTGTATGTGGGTGATTGGATGAAGGACGGAAGGACTTGTATTTAAAGAGAGATGGAATACTTCATAAAATTGATCAATGACATTTCTTCACTCTGAGATAAACTTCTTAGTCCCAATTTATCAACATATAGCCGCTCAGAGCCTTTCCGGGAGACTACCATTTGCACATCCTTTTGCATTATATGCTGCATCGGCTGCAGCTTTCCAAAGAACAGTGACATTGTTAATACTTTTCTCTGTATAGAATAACCTACCATCGGATTCTTCTCGGACGTACTGAGATGGAAGTCCATTGCCAAAATGTTCTGGGGAGATGTAGTCTCGCACGTTAAGGCTAGCACTATTAGTTCGCTGTAGTGGAAGTGGCGACAGCTCTTATAAAATATCTGCCTGGGCTTCCGAAGCATTTGGCAACGCCATCTGTGCATATTGTAAAATTGATTAGAAACTAAAAACTAGAGATCCTTTAATTTCGCCTACCTGTGACGGGCTTTGACCGGATTGGGTCTGGTCACTAGGACCACTCCGTCTCCAAGGTAAGGTAGTGGCAAAGCAACGCTCCTGGATAGACGAAAGGGGACTTTAAGGGGGTACGTACCAGATGGGGGAGTACGATACAGGAGAAGAGAGCCAGGGAGAAAGGATGATTCTCAGGGGCCAAGGAATATAGCCTGGAGAAAGGATTATTTCTCATATGGCTAAAGGGGGGAGTTAATACTAGCATATGCGGAAGACATAAAGGACAGGATACAATACGGTAGTTTAGCTTTCCCCAAGGATATTATTCATTTCCATTGCGTTAACGACTTCAAGTACTTCTGAATTCCTTCAACCCTTTACACTACCCCCTGCATAAGGCCTTCCTTAGGTCGAACTCCCATAGCAATAGATTTGACGCCTGCTTGGACCCGCATAAACTCTGAAAACATATGGCAAGCGGATCCACAATATCCATTATAAAGCTGGAAGAAATTAGTAATGCCTAAAGCACTTAAATTAATTTACAGACCATTATAATGTTTTTAGCATCAAAGGGCTATGTGAAATTTTGACGTGATCCATACCCAGTGATATCAATACCTACGCTGTAAGTATCATTAGAAGTGATCAGAGTATCATTTAGTTTCCATTGTATGGTGTTGGTGAAATTATCACCCTTTATAGTATATGGACCATACTTATCCTTAAAACTCCGAAACGGCTTGTTGTTACTGTTCAGATCGGAATAGTAGTGAAACCAAGATTGATGTCTACTAATCTCTGAATCAGTAGCAGTAGCAGGGTCAAAATCATTAGACCCTGCGGAAAATATCTCCGCAATTGCCATGAAAGCTTTTCCTGCTCTCCAGCGGGTATTTCCTTCTTGCTCAATATTAGGAAAACATTGTCGGAACAAGTCGTAACTTATTAAAATAGATCTGCCATCGTTACAACTAAGATCTATGATATTTTTAGTCTTGCCATCCCGCTTTGAATCAACCAGAAACTGCTGTGCAACTTCCCGGAACTGAGATATAGATTGTGGATAGAAAGGCAAAGTATTTAAAACAGCTACGTCTTCATATCCTTGCCCATCTAGATAGTGTCCGGATAAGATGGAGTCATTATTCGCGATTGCAGGTTGTGGATATGCAGAGGTGAAGTTGGGAAGAGATGTAGCAGCTGAATCTTCCTCTTCAACTTCATCGTCATGGACCGCACAATACTTGGTGTAAAATTGTTACCCATTGGCCACATCACTAAAGTCTGCCAAAATTCTGGCGGTGTTTTCCAGGATTAGCGATGATCCGTTAGCAAAGGTGAACAATGTGGTAGGACCCGGATAAATATATTGCATTCGCCCACCTCCTGAGAAACAGCCTTCCCAACCAGTCTCGGCGAAGGAACCTTGACTAAAGAACATGCTGCTGTACACCGCATCGGCATCTGGAAAACTCGGGGCTTCTCTACTGTAATTGGAGATAAATGTTGACGCTTCAATGCCATTAATTTGGGTAACAACTGATCCCTTTCCCGGCGAGTTGTAAACATCATCTAACTAAAGTCAGAAGTTTGTACCGCTAATAAACGTACGGTGACCAAACCATATAGCTTAATGACGGGAAGCGATCGTCCGTCCTCGCTTACTGAGACCAAAGACCACTGGCGACCAAAAACAAATCCCTTAGTCGCGGCATCAGGAAATAATATGATGTGCCCGTCGCAACCTCTCAGGAAGACCCGATACAGATCAATCTGAAATACATATTCGTTTGCATACCTATTTGCGACTAAGTTTCTCCGGACTTGATCTAGGGCGGCGATGACATCGTGGGCAGGACAATCGTAATCTGCTGAAGGATCTTTTTTCCATGCCAAGTCTTTTGATTGGAAAATTAGCTAGCTTGTCGCATTTCATTTGTCATGTACCTACCACTCTGCCATTCAAGGTACGGCTCGATGGAGTCAACAAAATCTATAGCAGCTGTCTCGTTGAGGGGTATCGAGTTCAGGCATTCATAGGCAAGCTGTGCGGAGACAGTTGGCCAAGGTAGATCCTCGTCAGATATCGTTGCATCTATCACAAAAATTGCATTTGGGACAAACTAGAGGGAGCTGTAGCTACTTGTGCAGCGGACGAGCTGCTGACAAGCGCGCATGGCTCGAAAAAGCTGTCCTCCGCAACCGCGGGCGGCGAGGTTATTTGAGCTGGCGTAACTTATGTTGGTGTTGTCTCCGTTGGTGCAAACTCACACGCGCAAGCACTAGCGATGCGTCCCTCGTCGAGCACATTATTTTCGTCTTGACAAGCAAATCTTACCTCATCTGGCACGACAATAGTCGGGTCTTGACGATATGCAGTGCAGAAATCTTGGGCAGCGGCATGGCGTCCAGAGATGTGTGGTGTTGAGCGAAGTGCGAGGAGACAGCTATCAGCAACACATTCAGCAGCTATGGAGACGGTTTGCAGTAGCAAAACGATCCACAGATATTCCATGGTCTGAAGATCTGGTCTAATTGAGCACAAGAAGAATGAGTGGAAGAATTAACCAGATGATAGATATTGCTGATACTTTTCCTCCGAGAATTGAGAAATCGGCATATTTATACGCACGCTTTTCCCCGAATATCGACGGAGCTGGCCTCCACATATATTTACATTACAAAATCTAACTCTATGGTGTATAAAACGGGTGCAATGCAACAGCCCGGACAAGTATAGCGAAGGATTTGATTTGATGTTTTAATATTACTTTGGACAGGGCAGGAAATTGAGCGTCATGGGCTTTTGTGTACTTTATTTAAAAATACTGGTATAATATAATACTTTTCACCTTTGTCTTCAAAATATTCAACCGAATTGATAAAATCGACAAGAAGCCTTTAGTCAACTGACTCACAACTTGTCACGAAGAGAATTCTGTTTAAGCTCGATGGGAGCCCATTTCGACTCTATTTTCCTGCATTAAAAACTCAGGATGCTCGCGTTTCAAGTGTGGATTGCAGCGGATTTGCTAGATCTAGTTTGAATGAACTGCTATTTACTTGTTTACGCTATTCTAATTTGATGTCCTGCGAGCCCAAGTTGATATCTATGATCTTTGTATTTACATGAGAGGAAAATCCCGCATATCAGCCCACCAATCCTATCTATTTGATCGTCCCGAAACACACTTCTACACTAATGCTATCCATGTAAGTCAATCACATCCTCTCTACTAGCCCAAAAAAGTATACGCAATGCTTCATTCACTCTACAGCATTTAGACCTCCGTTTTCAATTGGAATTGCTCTATCCAGCTATGATTTCGGAATCACTTTATAAATTTTTTCATTTTGTTAAAATTAATTATCATAGTATCGAAGGACTAAAACTTGGCTAGTCCCCAAACCTCTCCGTACCAACTAAACCATCTGCTGGTAAAGACGAATTCTTCATCAACAGTGGTGCCGTTGTAGCCGCTCAGTACGCTCTACATATCTGGGATAGCTGAAAAGAATCGCATAGGGATCGAAATCGAAAGCAACCTCAAGCTTATCTAAAATTGATGACTTCTATCCAATGTTTGACCTATCAATCTCACGCAGGTTCTCTACTTTAACCTTACCACACCACCCCGCCTCAAAAACCGATAATGGCGTTATTCTAATTGCAAACGGGAGCTTGCCCCATTACTTAACGGTCATCTCCCACTAAAAACAGACGACGCTATTTATACCCGCTAGAAAGTTGGTAAGTCATAACTTGTAAAGTTGGCGTCTTGATTCATAGAGGACTGTTGGAAGTATCGCGCAATGAAATGGGCGCAATACTTATGGAACGAAAGTAGAAGTTGACTAAAAGAGTATCATGTTCGGATTACAGATAAAAGAGTGGAAAGTGTGCGCTACAAGTACGAATGTAGGAGGGCAAGACTGAACACCTGTACGCGGTGTCCTCTACGAACCTGGGAGTGAAATATTCTCCCAGAGCCAAGTTCAGTCAAATTTCGCAATACCGAACAAGTTGGCCCACGAGGCAATGATTCAAGATACTCCACCATACCAATCTTTCACTCCAAAAAAGATCGAATCCTACCTAAGCCTCATCAAGTTTACAAGTAAGACCTAGTACACCCTCATTCCAATGACCACACCTCTTTTCCACTTTCTCTGGCCTTAGCTGGTCGCCAGATACACGCCCACGCCGATATTTACACCCGACAGAGGAAGCAAAGCGTGGCGCACAAATCTGGAAGACAATTCCTTGGAATGGATGTGAGAGGGATCAGGACAGGTTGATAAGATGATGCAGAGGATAGGATACAGACTCGACGGGCGTGGAATTTTGAGTTTTGGAAAGGAGCTTTTACAAATTGAGCTTGTGCGTGCCAAGACTTCGGCTGCGAGAGTGCAGGCGACACTATAAAAACCGCTATGGTTGGATGGTGCGGTGGTACATCGTCTTGGCCGGTCTGCCAAGTAGAGTCTGGATAGCTTGGACACATATCCCACTTGAGACAGTAGATCGCTGGTTCAAATCCAGCAAAACACAACCACATTTCTCGCGGCGCTGGTATGCATGGATGACGAAGGCATGCTTGGATAACCAAAGGTTTTTAAATTCCCTTTGGTGGGTACTTACGGAGGAGGGTCGTCTGTTTGAATAAGCGAACATACCTCTTAGTGGTATTTGCGAATGAAATCCAGAGTATGAGTGTCTCTAACGTCAAAAGAGTCATCCCACATGTATACATGGCACCGGTCATGTGTCATAGCTAGATAGCTGAATACACATTAAATGATTCAAAGAAAAAAAAAAGTACGAATGTAAGCGACACAGAGCCAAAGCCGGAGGGCAAGACTGAACACCTGTACGCGGTGTCCTCTACGAACCTGGGAGTGAAATATTCTCCCAGAGCCAAGTTCAGTCAAATTTCGCAATATCAAAGAAGTTGGCCCACGAGGCAAAAATTCAAATTATTCCACCATGTCAATCTTTCACTCCCAAAGAGTCCGATTCTCAACTAAGCTTCATCAAGTCTACAAGTACGACCTAGTACATCCTCGTTTCAATGACCACACCTCTCGTCGACTTTCTCTGGCCTCAGCCGGTCACCAAATACACGCCCACGCCGATATTTACACCCGACGGAGGAAGCAAAGCGTGGAGCACAATTTTGGGAGATAGCTCTTTGGGACGGACGTGAAAGGGATCAGGACAAGTTTACAAGATGATGCAGAAGAGGGATACATTCTCGACGGGCGTGAAATTTCGAATTTTGGAAAGAGTTTTATGAATTGAGCTTTGTGCGCGCCAAGACTTCGCTTGCGAGAGTGCAGCTGACACTATAAACACAAGCCAACGATGGAAGGTGTTGTGGTCCGCCTCCTGGTGGTGTTCTCTGGTATGGTTTGAGTAGCCTGGGCACCTACTCCACTTGGGAAGGAGACATCTCAGATTACATTTCGCGCGGAGAAAATTTGATGGATGACGGAGGCATGTCTGGATAACTCAGGGTTTTTGAGACGTTCCCCTGAGTGGGTATTCACGGATGAGGGTTGACTTGGGGTGAAGAAAAAGCCACCATAACTTCGCAATGGTACTTGCAAATTAAATCTGAGGCATGAGTGCTCCTCTTGTAAATTGAGTCATCTTTTCTGTACTTTTCTTCGATATTGTGTCATAGCTAGATAGCTGCATACGCAATTAAAATCTGATGCAAAAAAAAAAAAAAAAGAGCCTAAGCCATAGCATAAACAAGTGTGGCTCTATCCAGGCATAGAAAACCCCCAATAGCCTCATTGTGCCCACGCCATACAGCCGCTCACATATTGTTGTGTTATCCATGTAACTTACCATGGTACATACTTTAGGTCGCGTCATAGCCAATGCACGTGACTGTGGAACTAAACCGTGAGGTGTTTAGTGTGTAATGCATGTGTGGGTAAACTTGACCAAACTAGAACTCGATGGAATAGAGATAACAGAATCAGCGAGAGACTGATGGACTGAAGGAGAACGAGCTGGTCATTTCTCGTAGGAGAGAAATGATATCATAAGGGAATGTTCGAGCACTAGGTGTCACGGTTTCAGTACAACATGCTTGGGCGATCTTGTAGGTACAGTATATTAATTATAATTCTGTAGAAAAAGAATTCCTGTAGCTAGACTACAAATATATATACACTCCGAGATACTCCTCTGCTATAAGATTCCCCTATGACTAGAATAATATGGAATCTTCGAAGATTCCCAAGAAGACTCTCGATATGTCTGTCATCCTCATGAACCTTCAGTATGGTTCCAGAAGGTTCATTAAGAATCTTCTAACCTCCGTGTATCCCGAGATCCTTCCCGAAGATCCCCCAAGATTCCCTTGATGTCATTGCCTGCGCTAGCCAGCGTAGGCTACAGGAATTCTTAGGCTTAGCAGCCGTTAAACTAGGCTATGAACAACTCAGTAAGTCTGGAGCAATATATAAAGAGGTCTCAACATCCGTCCATTCAATATATCAAAGTTTCATTTATACGAGAATATAGAGTCAAGTCTTACATATCACGAGAACACACGCGACAGCGATTATAGAGACCTACTGTGAGCATAACTTCCCCAAGAGTACCCATCGTCCTGCTCCTATATAGCCTAGTTAATATAATATACATCCAATAAGTAGCCTGAAGCGCTACCATATTACCCATTCCAACCTCTTAAATACACACAAGATTGTGTCGGGAACCTAGACGAAATGGAGGGCCCGTACGTCCACAACACTTTGTGTCTCCATTTCCAACAGGGACTGTTGCTCTAATAGGTCTACACATCTTGAGGAAGAACAGGCGGCTGAGATTTATACCGAGAGTAAGAATAAGTCAATGACCACCATGGTGAG